CTTCTATGTCTCACATTACTTCAGGGATAACGCTCAGCTGAAGACGAAGCTGAAGGATGCTCATCGCCAGATCATGCTGGCAAACCACCCCGACCGTGGAGGCGCACCTTACCTGGCCAGCAAAATCAACGAGGCCAAGGACCTTCTTGAGAAAGAGATGAAGGCCCGATGACATCGTTTCACTCATGTGCGTCGTGTACTTTCATGAGCGTCGTTCTATATTAACCAGTGCTGTTGACTTTGCAGTCTCCTTCATATTAGATGTATCGTCCGCATAGCTCTGTACCACTGCATTACCCCGACTCTCTGCATTAATATCCTTAATATGCATTCCTACTCCCCGGTCTCATACAATGGGGCATCATGCCTGATGGCCTGCTTGAGGTCATCCCAAACCCCCAACTTGATGTAACGTCCTGGGCTGACTCCAGGGGCTGTTGGTCCATGCCTCTGCTCTCCTGGTTGATGTGCAGTTGCTCTGTGCGCTGTCGCGAACTGCGTGAATTTATCTTCGTTATTTCTGCTACGCTTCGGTCTGAGCGAGCGCCATAGAAGATGCTCTCCGAGAAGCCGTAATTTTGAAGCCAAATTTTGCTGACTAACACAGCTATCCGGGTTTTGAAGCGACTCCGAGGCCCAGCTTCCTCAGTTTCATACGCTCACAAAGCAGTAATCAAGGACCCACACTCCTGTTGCCATGGCTTCCGTAGATCTGCAGCCATCAAAGCTAGGCACCAAGGACCAGTACGTCTGTATTCCCCAAGTCATACACAGTGATATTGAGACTTACACACTGATCGATCTTAGCTGGGACGAAGTATACCAGCGAGAAGTTGCCAACTTCAAGGAGACAGGCGACGAGGGTGAAATATGGTGAGTCCCATTCCCTCTGCCGCACCAACGTCGTTCCCGACGCGACACTGGAGATCCTAGGTTCGGCGAGGAAAGCGTCGAGAAAATGACCCAATGGACCATCGGACACGCCCCACCCGAGATGAAGCCGTACATCCTCGAAGTCGGCAGCGGCAACGGCACGCTGCTCTTCTCCCTGCTCGATGCAGGGTACGAACCCTCGCGGCTTGCGGGCGTCGATTATAGCCCCGACGCAGTGAAGCTCGCCAGGCTGATTGCGACCTCGCGAGGGGGCGAGGAAATCTCCTTCGCGGAGTGCAATTTCCTGTTTGATGTGCCCCTCCCGGTGGACCAACAGGAGAGCAGCATCGGAGGGTGGAACATCGTGCTGGATAAGGGGACGTATGACGCCATCGCGCTCGCGGAGAAGGATGAGGTGGGCCGCTCACCTGTGGAAGGATACCCTGGTCGTGTCGCGCAGTTGCTCAAGAAGGGCGGGCACTTCTTGATCACCTGTGAGCTGTACCAATCCCGTCACGCGGAGCCTCAGACTGACGTCGAATTTAGCGTGTAATTTTACGGAAGAGGAACTTAGAGCCAGCTTCGCCACGGAAGAGACGGGCATGGTTTATCAGTGCGTACCTCAAATCTTCACTCGCCCAGATGTTCTAAACGAGAATCCCGTAGTTCACGTGTCCCACATAAGACGTACTCGTTCGGTGGCCAAAGTGGGAGCGAGTACGCGACCGTCGCGTTCCAGAAGGTAACATGAACAGTATAGACTCACAACAGTTCACGCTGGCGTGCCTGAACAGAAACCTAATGTATCACATAGCACATTAGAGTGTAGGTATAATATCCATTCCTGTCCTCAACGTCTCCACTGCGACTCCACTCGCCCATTTGAAGAAAGCAGCGTCCTCGTCTTCAGGATCCTGCTTTTTGATCGCCTCAGTGAGGAAGTACACAAGTCCAAGCGACAAGGCCTGGATACGCATAGCTTTGATAAAGATCTCTTCAATCGCGCCGCGGTTCCGTGTTGACGGCAGGTCCTTGACTTTGGAGCTGAGAACTGGTGCTGTGCTTTGGCTATTTATGAACAACTGGCGGAAAAACTCCATAAAAAAGCGCTGGCTCTGCGGCTTCAGTGCCAGGAAGTCGACGGGCTGCAAAGAGCGTCAGAACGACATACATATATATGACTATAAGAGAATGGGCAGACCTTCAGTATCGCCAGCGTTATGCTGTCCTTCGCGACCCACCATGCATACGCCTTTGCGACATTCTTGAGTCGTGTGCTAGATATTGTCTTGACATCAAACCCAGCGACGTCGTCATCTTTCATGTTTTTGAGGATCTCCGCACCGCCGACGGCGGTCTCACCAAGATCCCTAAGGAAATCCCACAGCGAAAACTGAAGCGTGATCTTGTAGGAATGCGCCATCCGGCATAGGTGCTGGCCGACGAAGGTGTAGTAGGGATTGTAGGACTTTTCCTGCATGAAAGGACACTCAGTCGGCTCTGAAGCATGTCGAACAGCTGAGCGACGTACGTTACCGCAGCAGTGCAGGATGACGCGCACGATTTCGCGCTGCTGCACTTCTGTCAAGTTTAGTTGGGACAGGCGCTCCCAAGCATCGACGTAATCCTGGGCAAATGTCAGCAGGCGCTACGCTGTACAGAACGACAAAGGGACTCACGTCACTGCTCATGAGCACGACAAAGATACTCCGCCGGATGTCCGTGTTCATGCCCTGCTTACGCGCAAGCTTCACCAGCGCGTTCTCACTGACGGCGGCGACCTCCGTGCGCCGGGAGCTCTCCTGATGCTCGACAAGCGGATCGCCGCCCCACGCCGCGCCGACTAACCACCACTTGCCCTTCGTCTCCGCAGAATGCAGATCCTCCAAGCCGACACGGAGGGGTTCATGCGCCAGAACTGGACAATCAATACATTAAGCTTTGGGGGTCCAATGACGAGAATGCGAAAATGCGGCATTGAGGACATGCGGCGATGTCGTGTACGTACCGTGCTTCTTCTTACTCAACCCTGTCAGGAACTTCTTCATGCGGTCCACCGCGTCCCCGCCGGCGTGCTGCGTCGCGGATCGCTTTGTTTTGTTGTTTTTGAGGTTATTGAGGGTCTCGAGCATGAAGCGCGTGCGGGAGCTGTCATGGGTGTCATTACGGCACTTGAACAAGCGTTAGACTGTTGCCTTACCTCGTCGCCTGCTCGGAGTCCGAAACCTTGTCTTGAACGAGCTGTACGATGTCTTTCAGTGCGGAGGGATCATCTTGACGTAGCTGATGGCCAGAGTCTATTCTGATGTCAGACATCCACGTAGTTGAGGATAGTTGAGGATCTCACTTCGCAGTAGCTTCAGAAGTAGCTCAACATTGAACTCCGTCAAGTCTTTAGCAAGAAGGCTGCGGATGATATCGTAGATGAGAATGCACGAGATGACCTGGAAGTTGTACAGCTCCGATAGCAGCACGATCAAATTAGAGCACTCCTTGCCACGACTGTCGTCTTCAGACGCGTCACCGGTATTGGCATCCAACGCATCGAAATGAGTCTCATACGACGATACGACACTTTGTAAAAAGAACGCAGCTGCGTCATGTGTAGCATTAGTATTGAATAGAGAATTCGGCAGATACCTAACTTACCGAATTCGACGCCGATGATTTTGTGAAGGGCAGAAATGAAGGCGGCGTGCAAGACCACATAAGAGTCCAGCAGCATGGAATGAGAGGATATGCCGTCGATAATGAGAGATGTTATCGTCGAGGTCACGTCTGAATAATGTGAGCCGTCAGAGCATTCGCATACGGGGGCAAGCATTTACCATTTCGTCGATGAGTTCTGTACAATCCTTCGACCTCGTCTAGAATATTTCCGATATTTTGCTCGCTCAGTCTAGTATGGCACAAGGTCAGTATGAGGCGTCAAAAACAGCTCTCGACCCCACCGATTGAGGAAACCTTTCAGTTGTCTCGATAATTTGGCCAAGGCTTCAGATTGATTACTATCTGCAGTCTGCCTTCGCAAATGCGGCGGTACATATTTCGTCGCTATTACCCCGTCAAGAAGAATCATGTAGAAAGTGAGGAGACAAACGGACCTGGTTTCTTCTCCTCAGATACTGGAGGTAGTTCTTCGCCTGCTGCATCTTCTTCCGCACCTTCTTCTTCATCCCCGAAACCCGTCCACTCTACATCTATATCTGTTTCACCCTGTGGTGCAGATTCTTCGTCCGAGACCTCCGTCTCCTCCTGTTCCTCCTCGTCATCCTCCAGCTCGGATTCCGCTGAATCTTCGAGCGTATGGGATTGCTGAGAACTAATCAATAATTGCATGACGCGGGAATCAAATTACCACATACCTGTTTCCGTGAAGGTAGCCCGATAGTGTCGAGGTCCGCAAGCAGGTCTTTGAAACGTATTAGTCCATACATCGGGAAAGTGACAAGCCCAACAAACCTCCAAGTCCATCGTCCTCGAACTCTCCCTTTTTCGTTTTCCCCAGCTTCGATTCCAGAAACGCGATGTACCTCTCCTCGTCTATTTCCCTCTGACTGCGGGGCATGACCGGGCCCTCAGCGAGTTTCTCCAATGTGGTCCTCGACTTGGCCTTCGCTTTGGGCTTCGCAGAATCTTTGCGCGTCTTGTCATTGCTAGACCTTTCTGCTTGCTTCCCTTTCGTATTTTGTTTGGATAATGCAGCGTCTACCTTTACAGGCTCCGGCGCCGAAAGCTTTGCCTTCTTGCGTTGCGGAGAGTCCGGGTGGTCCGCCTCTGCAGCCCGTTTCGTGAAGTGTGATGCCTTTCGTTGTTTTTTCTCAGCGCGCTCCTGCTTTCGCGCCTCTTTACGAGATACGCGAGACTTGGCTGACCTTGCACTGGGCTGAGAATAGTACTCTGAACAGAGGCAGTAGTAAGTACGCGCGCGACGCGCACATGAGACGAATTCTTCTCACCTGAATCGCCGCCGATTTGTTCTAGGAGAGTCTGCGGGAGACGGATACCATTCCTTGCAACCATAATGAAGGGAGACACAAGGGAGCTGGAGGAAGTTTCGAATTACACGCCCATACGAATGTTCCTATTGAGCACTATACAGTTCTCACGTGTGCTTGATTACGCAAGCATCAGTGGTGTAGCGGTAACATTGGGTCTTCCCATTTCAAAACCTGTGGTGGCCTAGCTCGGGGTTCGACCCCCCGCTGATGCATCTATAGCTCTGGATTGTTTATTTTGTTAATTTCCATAAGTTATATATGACCCACATGTACAATGTCGGTGCTATGCTCCCGCTCGACATCCCAATCCCTCGTAGCAATTATCAGTAGCATCTCGTTAAGGGGTCGCAAGCTCGGAGACATTTTATGAATTCCCCAAAATTCACTCCCTCGCGGTAGAAGACAATTTATACTGAAGACTTCCGACTATGTTTCGTATCAACTTTGTGGATGGTCTATATGCATGCAATACAATAACAAATGTCTAGTGTGGAATCAGAACTTGCCCCAAGGGCCCTTCAGAACTAGATGTCTCGTGAGAGCCATCAGCACAGTAGCGACCATGATAGCGGATCCTTGAGAAACCCCAGTAAGCATATAGTATTGGACGACACAACTGCAGGACCGCCGACCGACTCACCAGCATAAATTCCGACAGCTTTGTAGTTGCCCGTAGCAGTGTTGATGGCACCAGAGATAGGCGGGCCAGCAAGGGCGCCGATGGACATCGTCGTCATGAACATGCCGGTCCGACGCCCGACATCGCCAGGCTCCCCGAACGCAATCATCGGTGCTCCGAGTAAGCTCACGTAGGCTCCAGATGAGATACTACACGGATCAGAGACAATTAGACTTGAACCGGGTATTTATCAAAACGAGAGACGAACCCATAGAAAATGGCTATGACCACGAGAGGGCCGCGACCATGTACGAAGGGCCAGATATAGGTGAACACGCCAGCTAGGGCCGTCATCGGAGTCATGACGTTCATGGCGCCTATGTCGAGATCAGTATCATACCGAGGGTACGAAATGAGGCGTTCTCACCAATGCGGTCCGCGCAGAAACCAAAACCCAGTCGTCCAAAACCAGACGCTGCATTGGCGATGGAAACCAGGTAGAAGGCAAAATTCTCATCAATGCCCTGCGTCGACGCGCTAGCGTCGATGTAGGTGAGCACTGAAACGAGTGTCAGTCGCTTAAGACGGATAGGTGTAAAGGGGGCGAGCCGCACCTGTGTACAGTCCAAGGAAGGCGATAAAGCCACCCGCAGTATACGCAGAGAAAGGCGCCGATGTGAACACACGGAAGTTGAATAACCCGCCGCTGACGTAGACGGGGGGCAAGCGCCGCTTCAGCGTCTGCAGCCACTATCGATTAAAACACTTCCGACGTTATGAGACGAGTTTCACCAACCAGATTCGAGACCGCAGTGAAGAAGATGAGGATAAATCCGAAGGTCCTCATTGTCCATTTGAACCTAGGGGAATCTGAGAAAGAGAGCGCCGAACAGAATAATGAGATTACTTACCCGACATGCGTCTCCAGCTGTCGGAAGGCAATGGGGAAAATGGTTCCTCCGAGAGAGGATCCACACGCCATGATGCCCAAAGCTGTACCACGTCGCTTCTTGAACCAATGCGATATGATACCCACCGTAGGCCCGAATATGATGCCGCATGCAATCTGAGAGATAAGGTGAGACTCTGAGCTCGGGGGGATTATAAGATATAATACATACACCAATGCCGAAGCCTTGGCAAAGCAGGAAGTGCCAATACTTCGTGCATTCAGCGGTCAGGAATGTGCAGACGACCAGCAGTATGCTGGCGCAGAACAGGGGGACTTTGAAGTACCCGAGGTCAAACATACGGCCAATTAAAATGGCCGGGAAGAAATTCAAGGAGTACTATTGTGAAGGTACGTTAGAGGAACTTCAGACGTGTGAGGTTCGGTGTGCATACCTGAATAGAACCGATCCATGCGCTGAGAATCATAAAACGTTAGCTATATACACTACTAAGGAACGTATTCAAGACGCACATCGTCGAGGGTGTCGTGTCTTGCAGAAGCTGATGCTCATAATAATCTTGAAAGGCCTGCGGGAGTGGTAAGCCGAGCCGATCGTACTTAGATGTGAGGACAACTTACACCCCAGGTGTTTACATATCCGAACCTGTAAAAAATGCGCATCAACAACTCGAAGACGGTAGAGAATACATAGCGTACGGTGGGTGCTCACGTTGCAAAGGTCGTACAAAATCCCTACGTGAATCGATGCCATCGGTCAGTGAAGCACATTCGGAAGACGAAGATAACTAGAAGACGACTGACTCCCAGTACCACGAGCCAAGCCTCTAACCCTCCATCAGGAAAATCGGAATCCTTCATAGAGTAGTTTGCATCTTCTGGCGGAGTGATTGGAGCCTCCGTCGCGTCCCTCTCCTTCACCACAAGCGCAAGGCCAGGTATGTCCGCATCTTGTCGTAGCGTATGATCGTCAAAAGAGTTGGCGCGGCCATTGTCTGCTTCTTGCTCCTTGTTGCCCTTCTCTAGATCGTACGACATCTCGTGAGCAGGAGAGTGTCTCTATAGCACGAGCGACAAGGGGGGAAGCAAGAGGAATTCAACAAATAGGGCACGGGAAAGCACGCCGATTCTCAGGGATCCCATTCGCCCCGATCCCAGTGCCTTATAAAAGCATGGATTGGTTTGATATGATTCACAGAAAATTACATGAGAACGCCGGCGCTCTTCGCGATATGCGAGCGGTCCGGTGGTTTCGGTGGAAAATTGTGCACCCTGCCAGTGAGTTTAGCATCATATGTTTCGTAGCTTACGAGCATCGCGTTGAAGAAAACCCGCCTCGACGGATGGGGTCGAGGAAGTTATGCAGCTGTGATAAAGGAGGTATTTCGATGTAATTGGCCGAAGGCATGTGAACTTGAAGGCGCCAAATTGGCATCAAGTGATGTGACCCCGCGCCGCCGGCGACGAGCCGGCGGCCACTTGCGGCCACGCATGCTCCTGCTTGGCGCCGTCACTGACCGCGGTGGCCATCCTCTCAAGGAGTGGCCTCAGTCTCGAACGTTCAACGAAGAGTCCACAAGAATAAACAGCGTTAACTTCAACAACATAATCCGGGTTGCAACCGTGCCACAACTCATATAGTATTAAGCGCAAATAGATACAGCGTAGGTATATGTTTCCTCGCAATACAATAACTTCTGCTGTGAGTACTGTCCCCCATACATCCTTCATAAGTTATACTATACATCGGTATCGCTTGCCGAACGGTCCAGAAGCTGGGCCACCGTCTCCAGGATAACCTTCGGCTGCAACAAAGTCTTCCTTTCCACAATCTCCCCTCCCGGACCAAAGCTAGACAGCTTCGCCGTCTTTCGCGTGGAACACCGCAGACCGAGCTCCGTCGTCGCCAGAACCGACCCTCCAGCCACATCATACCCAGCGAACGCGTTTATCATGGCCGTCTGGTCGAATGGTTTCGACTGCTCAGCGATGACGATCTCGAAGTTCGTGGACATCGTCTCCTCTTTGGTGATATGCGCCACCTTGCACGCCGCATGGGCGATATGCCGGATTTGCGAACCGAATCGGGCCTTCAAAGCGTCCTTAGATGTCAATGAGACGTCCGCATTGGTGCAGTAGCACAATGTGAAGATGTCAATGCACCCTCGTACGATGTTGTCGACAAAGTCGTTCACTGCGTTTTCTTGCAACCGCGGGTATAAGGCTCGGATGTGGTGAAGCGTCAATGACCTCCATCGAGAAGACGTCGCCTGGGGTTCTGCGACCAACCCGCTTTCAGCATGGCGGACGACGCAGATTGCTTGGGGTAGGGTGAGGGAAGGCGGGACATACCGGTTGCGTGCATGCGTTGGAAGACTTGGGTGAGCAGATCGTTCGGCATTGCAGGTAGCCCGATGCAAAACACCGACAAGAGACGCGCGGTGTACATCGTAATGCACGCCTGCATGCCGAACTGGATCAGGTTCAAGTCGTGCGAGTGGTCCCTTGCCGAAAGGATTTGAGCGAACTTCTGACCCAATCCCGACGCCATCTCCTTCGTGGCTTGGACGATCCTCGATCTCGGCACCTTGATCTGCCTATCGACTGTGGACAACTCCGTCGCCGCTGCAGCGAGCTGCAGAATCTCCGAATTCAGGTCCTGGACCGCTTCGATGACTTGGGCACCGGACCAGCTGTCCGTCTTCGTGAGGAACACCTCGAGGCCTTTCACGGGAGCGACGTCCTCTTCCATTGTCATCGCGAGTGCGGATCTCTGTACGGGAGGTGTCGACTTGGGTCTGCGACTGGGATAGGGACTCCGGGAACGGAGGTGGGCGTCATCGTCGCGACCATGGCCATTGGTATACGCAGATCGTCCGGGAGGGCTAACGGCATCGTGCTGTCTTCGCGTCTCAGACCTCAGCCTGTGGTCGCGATCATGACTCTGACCTCGAGACCTATGATCCGCCATCAGCTGTTCCTTCTCCTCCCTGAGGGTCTCCACCTCCTTCTCGCGCGCGCGCAGTGCATCCGTGGTCTCCTTCAAGGTGCGCTCGAGCATCCTATAGCGCTCTGCTATCTTGGCAGCATCGGCCTGGGATCTGGCGAGTTCATTCCGGGTAGCCTCCAGTTCGCTCCGCACGGCTGCGACGGTGGATGGTGGGGGATCGGGGCGTGGCTGGGGAGAACATGCGCCGTTGCTGCCTGTTCGGCGCTCGGCCGACTGGCCAGCGTCGGTCTTGCGACGTCGAGAGGCACGTCCGCGCGTCAGTTTGTCGGATCTGATTTGGACGGGGGTAAGGATCCGTCCACGCGACGCAGAGTCGTCTGTATTTGCCCTGTCACTGGTGGTAGCGCCTTGTGCAGGGGGGTGGGGAGTCCTGAGGGCGAAGAATTCGATGGTTGTTTGGTAGTTGTCCTTGACATGTATGTTAGTGATGGGAAACATGGGGCAGGGAGGACAGTACTGTTTGGGGGGATATGCTGTCTTTGTGCGGGATGATGGGGGACAGCAGTTAGATTGACGGACATGGTGCACGAGTCGATTTCGCGGATGGAATGCCTCGAGGCTGCAGCCTGCGTCCATCGCATCTAATCGGCCACGCCCCGAACACACGTCTGTACGTCAACGAACAATGGCTCCTTCCATCAATCCAATTTGCCCGACGCCTCGTGCCCGTCCC